ATGTGTAGAGTCCCAAAAGGATAGGAGACACGATGAGGAAGTAGCTTTATTTGAAGGGCCAATTGTTGAGTATGTTTCAAAAACTGGCAAAAGACGTCAATCTCTAGATTCAAGAGGCTTAGCAAACTCTAAGCAGGATAAAAAATAATAGCACACTTGGGCACATTGTAATCAAATTATTAAAACCAGTGATAGGGCGGCACCTGTGGCTCAAAGGAGTAGGGCACTGGCCCCATATGCCAGAGGTGGCAGGTTCAAACCCAGCCCCAGCCAAAAACTGCAAAACAAACAAACAACAACAATAAAAAACAAAAACAAAAACAGTGATGCACTGAACCAACAGAATTTGCTCTGGAAATTGTTTCCTAATGAAAATTATAGGTGTTGCTGTTACTCTGATTGAAATGTTCACATTCACAAAGACAAAGTCAACTTCTTCTCTCTCCCCCTCTTTTTCCTTCTCCTTCTCCTCCTCCTTCTTCTTCCTTTTATTTGAGACATAACCTTGCTCCGTTGCCCTAGATAGAGTGCAGTGGCATCATCATAGGTCATGGAAACTTCAAACTCCTGGGCTCAAGCAATCCTCCTGCTTCAGCCTTCTGACTACTCGACTACAGGAGCATTCCACCATGATGCCTAGCTAATTTTTTCTATTTCTTATAGTGACAGTCTTACTCTTTTTCTAGCTGGTCTCAAACTCCTGAACTCCTAAGCTCAAGGAATCCTCCTGCCTTGGCTTCCCAGAGTGCTCAGATGACAGGAGTGAGCCACTGTACCCAGCCCAGTTAACATGTTCTTGAGGTCAAATTAGAGGAATAAAACCAAACCAATGAACGAGTTTATTTCTTACAGCCCAAGAAGTTAACTGACCACCGCCCCCCCCCCCTTAGTATTCTTCCTTTATGAAGCCTCTTCCTTCCTCACCTAATCATTCTATCTTTCTGGCTGAAGATGAGACTTTTAGCTTTGCCCTTTGGCTTAATTGCTCTATGTAATCTTGGAATTCTCCCATTTTCAAAGTTGCATTTCTCTGACCTTTGCTTTTTCACGGAGGGAGAGAACAGCCTGTAGAGTTCTGAAGAGAGAATCAGCTTTGGTTCCTAAGGATCCTGCGAAGCAGCATCTGGCACCAATCACTTTTGCCTTTGGCATCTAGTCACTATTGTGGACACAGTCAGGAAGGAACAATGCAAGGGATGGTGCTTACTTTTCTGGATTTGCTCAAGTGATTTTTAAAATAGATGTACACACAAATATAACAACATAGGTTGTTTTTTCTTTTTTTTTTTTGACCAGGGCTGGGTTTGAACCTGACACCTCTGGCATATGGGACCAGCGCCCTACCCTTTTGAGCCACAGGAGCTGCCCCCATAGGTTGTTTCTTCTAACTTTGAGACAGATGGAGAGTGGAAACATACTAAAGCACCTGGAGAGTGATGAATTTCAACCTGTGTTCTATCTTTTGAGAAGATAAAGGAATAGATGTGTTTTCCCTGATTCAAATATTTGTCAGTGCCTATATTTTTCTAGTTGTGCCCTGCTGCAGGTCTTAGGGTTGTTCTACTTCTTTTCTTTTCACTGTCCAGTTTCTGAGTCAATGCTTATCTGAACTCTCCAGTTCCTGAGCCAATATTCATCTGAACTGGTACTGTACCAAGATCCCCCTGACCTATATGAGATGCAGTGTGGACCTGTGGGTAGCTGCTCACTTGAGGAGTCAAGTGCACATATACACACTTCTGAGAGTCTCCCTCATTACTCCAGTTCTCCCATGGGCTGGAGCATCATCAGAATGGGGTTCTTTTATTTGGAGTCCACCTTTCCTTCCAAGACCTTATCATTCCCTCTCCCAGGAGGTAGACTCCATTCTAGCATCCCTGGCTGTTAGCTGGGGCTCACTTCTTTGTGCTGTGAGAATCATTTGTGTATTCATTGTTTCTTATTGCCTGGTACCATGTTAGGTGACAACAATACAGTGATGAACAAAATGAAGTAACCCTTATTCTAAGAAAGTTTACATTCTAGTGGGAAAGAATGGCATTAAAGAAATAACCAGACAATAGGTGATTATAGACTGTGTAAGTGCTTTAAAGGATAAGAACAAAATTCTAAAAGGAAGTTGCACCAGACAATAGGTGATTATAGACTGTGTAAGTGCTTTAAAGGATAAGAAGAAAATTCTAAAAGGAAGTTGCATGCATGCATCTAAGTTAGACTGTGTTGGGGAAAGCCTCTTTGAGTCAGCCAAGGAAGACAAAGGGAAAGAATGCTTCAAGTGGAGAAAAAGCTGGTGAGAAGACATGGAGGTAGCATTGAACTTGGCTTTTTTGAGGACTTCAATAAAGACCAGTGAAACTAGAGCAATAGTTGCCAATCCTGGCTGTATTAGTTTCCTATGATTGTCATACTGAGTTATCACCAACGTTGCTTAAAACAACAGAATTTATTTCCTGGTAAATTTCAGAAGTCTGAAATTACAACCTCTGGGCAGAAATCAAGCTGTTAACAGTATAATGTTCCTTTCAGGGGTCTAGGAGAGAATCTGTTTCTTGCCTTTTCCAGCTTCTAGTTGCTGCCAGCATTCCTTGGCTTATGGCTTCAGCACTCTAATCTTTAAATATAGCATTTTCAGATGTCCATCTCTTCTATCTTCATGTCATCTTTTCCTTTGTGTGTATCAAATCTCCCTCTGCCTCTCTTTTATACGGATCCTTGTGATTGCATTTAGAGCCCCCACTGAATAATGCAGGATAATTTCTCCATCAGAAAATCCTTAATTCTGTCTGCAATCCATTTTTGCCATACAAGGTACATTTATAGTATGTACCTGACATTTGTGTTGGCCCTTATTCAGCTCACCACGCTAGTTTGTGTTATAATCCCCAGAGGAACTTTGACTGCCACGTTGAAAAAAATGTTTTCCTTGGGACCATGCTGTTTTATTAAATTAAGAGATATGTAAGTTTATGTATGCTTCATGAGGCCCTGACTCAAAACTGGTGTGAGTTAAATACAACTCACATGGCAGTTAATGAGTTAAAGATACAACATCCAAGGCCTACCCCAGACCAGTTGAATCAGAATGCCTGGGTGAGGTCTGAACATGAGTATTTTTTTAAAAGCTTCATACATGACTCTAATATATAGCTAGGGCTGAGTCAACTGGGGTAAAGCATCGTGAGGGAGGGGGAATTGTAGTGGCAGGCAGGGTGTCATCACTGTGACTTCTGCAGCCCCATTAAGATCCCTTGCATATCAATGCTCTCTGCCTGAAGCCCTCGCTTAATGTACCACTCTGAACTGTTTTGTGATCTGCCTTCCTTGGGGTTTTTGTCCCTGCCTCCTTCAGTTCTTGCTACTTCTTCCCCATCAAGCTGACACCGAAGCTCTGGAATGTGTGACACCTAAGTCCATCTATATTATGGAGAAGGTATAGGGCCAAAAGTTAATACAAGAACAAAAGTAGTTGGCCTTATGCAAATAGACAGTTGACTGCTGTGGAATTGTAAGGGAAGGTCTGCACTGAGGTCAATTTGTGAATTTGTAAAAACAAAAAAATTAAGTTCGGTTCGAACAAAAACCAACCTTAGAGGCAGGAACAAAAAAATTAAGTTCAGTCTGAAAAACCAACCTTAGAGGCAGGTTCAGAATTAGGAAAACATGCCTGAAGTCCCAGCATTCCAGCACTCACTACTTGTTTTAGCTATAAAAGAGGATATTGTCTTTGTCATTATTCCCCACATCAATGAAAATATTGAGAGATCTTTTTTAGTGAGTGCATTTGGGGGTGGGGGGATAGGAATTCTGCCTGTAAAGATCCACAGTAGCTTTGGACCTAAGGACTTAATCTACTCTCCCAACCACATAGGCTCATCATTTGAGAGCTATGAAAATGACCATGTAATTTGCTAGAATTTGGCAATCTCAAGAAAAGTGTCAATTGAAAGAGATCCTATAAATCCTCAGTAGTTATTTGCGAGCAGATTGACATTTTCAAATGCCCGTTTGAGAAAAGTTCCCAAGCTCCATTCACACTGGGCCTTTGGTGATTAATCTGAGGGCAGCCATGTTTTCTTTACATATCACCAAATTGTCTCTAGGGAGGTGAAGATGCACTTACCATGCTGTGTAGACCTCGGTCTTTTCACCATCAGTTCTCATAGAATCCATCTATGAGGAATATTGGTAGCACCTGGAAGTGTGTGTTGTAGTTGTAAGTACTGGGAGTGTGTAATTTGAAGCTCTTTGCAGAGGGGTTCAAGGTAGCAAAATCCAAGGTAGCGAAATCCTCTGACTCTGTGTGACCTCATCTCTAACATGATGGCATATTGTTTGGCACTTCTTGTTGCCGACAGTCACTTCAGCTGGGGCAGAACATCCTGATGCTTCTTTTGGGAAGTCCTTCTACCATTTTTCTCCCCATCTCACCCCCACTACCATTGTCTTGTTTCCATTCTTACTTGCACCAGGTTATTTCATATTTTTTGGAAGAACATTATAATGAGTCTGATTACTACCAGCTCTCCCTTTGGGTACTCTTTTAATTAAGGGAAGGTGGACAGTGACGATCCTTTCTGGGTTGTTAGTACTGAGCATGCTCGGCACTCAAAAAAAGATATGAATAAATGTTGGCCTCCCATTCCAAGCCCTCTTTAGGGCTTTCTATTGGACACACCCCTCCATTTCCAAAGTGGCAGTTGCATGTTTTTTGAGCATCTTGGCTTTTCTCCTAATTATCCCACCTAAGTGGAAACCTCCTGGTAATCACACAAAAAATTCTTTCTTGATAAGAAGGCCTAGAGGGCGGTCCCAGCAACACCTTTCTATCTAAGAAGTGGTTCAATTATTTTCACCTCTGATAAAATGATAAACTTCAGCCAATTCATCCAAGGCAGAGGATGGAGGGAATGGAACTGCTAGCTATACCACCCCAGTGGGGGTAGATGTCTGAACACAGCCTTGTTCTCAAGCGTAAATTCTTCTCTTTCTCCAAAGAGCAGCAGTGGCCGAGGTGTTGGCATGCAAATGCTTGCAAAGTGAAAATGGATACACTTCCACAGCTCCTCATCGCTGGCCTCCAGCGGACAGCCTGCCAACTGTGCACGCATGTTGGTTTGGCACCAAGACAAGCATTCCCTGGAGCATAGACTGAAACCACCAAACCGACATCACATGGGACGTCAGTCAAACCTTGACCTTGCTGTCTGCAGGTGAGCGGCTTTGGAATTAACCTGTGATGGTCTCCTGCTTCTGCCTGGGTGGTGCTCTGGTTTTTGTTTATTTTTCTTTTTATTAAATGCCACATTTGAATCTCGTTCTCTCACTCCTGCCGATATCTACTTGCCACAAAACCACTCTCCTGGTCTTCGATCGTGAACAGTAGGCAGCTAGAAGTAGTTTCAAGAATGGCAAAACCACACAGTTCTGTCTTGCCCTGAGTCTTCGTGGTCCTTGAGAAGGAAGGGCCATTAAAGACGGCTTCAAGGTCGTGCCTAAGTGGCAGGGCCTGTGGTCTAGCATTGCGGGCATCTGTGATGGCTGTCTGTTCCTTTTCTATCCTTCTCATCTACATTTTTTCCTGCTGCTCCAATGCCTCTCATCTCCCCTCCCTTTCTGTTTCCAACTCTTATTTATTCAGAGCATCCAGTAGTCTAAGTTTTTCATGTATTCAGGGCTTTAGTTTAGCATGTGGGGTGCTGGCTTTTTCAGCAAGCTGCTTTGATCATTATTTCCAACTTGGGGTAATAAAGAGGCAGGAAGGTGTAGTAGAAAGAGCTGGGGCCTGAAGCCAGAGGCCTTGGGTACTAGTCCCAGTGCTATTTCTAACTAGCTATGGGACTCTGGCTGGGATACATCCTGGCCATGGCCTCAGTTTCCTCAGTGATGGGATGAGGAGTTTGGATAAGAAGATTTCTGATACTCGTCTCATTTTATCATTCTGCAGAGCTCACTAATTATGTAAAAATCTGTACTGGGTTGTGCCACCTCACTTTTTTTTCTCTTTTGAAAAACTTTAATGTTAAATGAATGAAGGAGGAGATATGAAAAGAGTCCTTAAAATTTCTCAATGTCTCAAATACAGAATCTATTACTGGGGGTGGAGGAGGAATCTGTTTTCTAAAATCAGTCTCCAGAAGATTTATAGCCCAGAAATACAATTCCACACCCTATCTTAAAATGGGAAGCAATGTTTTCCGTAAGAATAAGAAAGTAGTTTAAGTGGTATTTGTTGTTTTTTAAGGACCCTGTTCCTGGACTTTAGCATAAGCACATATAATTGTTCAAGTAAAATTGTACTTTTGGAAGGAAAAGGTTAAAGTTGGCTACTGATATTCATCAGGAGATGGATATTTAATCTTTAATCTCTTGTCCTAGGCCTCTACTTTGGATCAACTCATTATCCCGAATAAACGATGTGTCATTCCCATTATTTATGTTTCACTGCAGCCAAAGTATCTGGACCTCGTTTTAGTAAGCGCCATTCATTTCGGCCCATTCAGTATTAATCTCCCTGCTAACATCTTTCCTGTTCTATGTGCTGTCCCCTATTTGCTTTTATGTTTTCTGCAGAGTGTTTATAAAAGGATAATCTTTTACAAAGCAGACAGAATTTTTGTGTATAAACTGCTCTGTTTGAATGCCTCATTGATATACCATCTAAAAACTGAAGTGTTCAGCAAGATTAGCAAAGCCCCGAGCTATTGAGCTGAGGGAAAACATGAGAGCCGGTCTCTTCTCCACAGGAGGCAAAGGTGACAGAAGATGCCTTTGCTTTGGTAGTACTAGCAAAAGCAGAGCCATTGCCCATCCAGGCCCTGATAGGTCCAGTTGCCTGGAAATCCAAGTCCACGAAGCAAGCAGCGTAAAAGTTGCTGAAAAGGGAATGAAGAGTGTGTTGGTCTGATGAAAATTCTTTCCTAGAATTTTCTCAGAAAATGTCATGACTTCTCAAATGTCTGTAGCTCTCATTTTAGCTAAACCTGTTTCATAAAGTATCTGCCTGCTCTTGCTGTTGTTCATTGAAGTTCAATTTCTTGCATCATTCTGTTTTACCCTGGAGAAAAAGGCAGTTACTCTAGGAGCCAAGAAAGGTTCCAAAGAAGGAGGGTGGTCCCTTCCTGCCTCTTCCATTGTCCCTCTCCAGGGATCTCAATCTCACTCAAATAGCTCTCTTTTGCTAAGAGGAGGGAGAGATCACTGCATTTCTCAGTGGACAAGGAAGGAAGGTCCCCGATATGCCACTGACAAGAAGCCTTAACAGATGGACTCTGAGAATGGGAATATGTTCAAGAAAAAAGTCTTTAAAAAAAACATCAGCAGAAGGGGATTGCACATCTGGCCATGGTGGGAGCTGAACACGGGAAACTGCAGTGAGCAAATGCTTTGTACCTCAGACAGGGTGAGTTGCACGGTCAGGGACGCACAGAAGCGTCTGACATGCTAACTGTGCTTGGGTTTTTAGTTGGCAGGGCTGGGGGCTGAAAATAAATAAATAAAAATAAACCCAAGATGCACAGTGCCAAACATTATACGTGCCTTCAGAGAATTTTTCCCCAACAAATTGATCACTTTGATTACACGGTAACAAAGCTGGTGATTTTCTGAGGCATGCCCTTTCAAATTTCTATGAGAAATTTTGCTTACATTTTCATATTCATTAGAGAAAAGTTCAAAACAGACATGTGGTGGTGTCATTTTAATGCCATAGACTCTTACCTACTAAGGGCCTGACAAATCTCTTCTGAGGAGCTAAGCTATAAAAACACTCAGAATTTATCCATGGACACTCTATCAACAAGAAGCATTATTTAGGATTTTGTCATAGCTACCTGCTGCCCTTGCTGTTCATTTATTACACTGTTAACTAGGGTGGATGCTCTTGCCTTGATCTACATCATCCACCAAGATGAGAGCTGACAAATGTTTGAGAACAACTTGAACCCAGCTTCTCTGGGGTGCTCTGTGTGCTTGGGGGAAGGAAGACAAGTAAGTGACAGTTCATCCTGTCCCTTGGCAGGAAAGCTTGGTGCTTGGGGGCAACAGAGGGACTGAGAGAACCCAGGGAATTCTTAAAATGAGCCTGGATCAGTTGCAATGTCTAAAAGAACAAAGTATTAATAACTAGGTTTCCCTAATAGGGCATCAACCTCTTGACCATAGGGAAATTCCTGCAATTGGCTTCTCCTTTGAAAAGCCTCCTAAAGATATAACAGCAGCTCCTCCCAGAGAGGGGTGCTGCAGGGATATTGCAGGTGTCAGTCTCAGTGGTGCCATGTTTCCAACTCTATTTCTTTTATTTTCCATTCTTTTTTCTTCTACACTTTCCTTCCTTTTTTTTCTTTCTTTTCCCTTTAATTGTTTTTTTTTTTTTTTGCTTCCCTCCTTCACTCTGTGGTTCCCCTTCTCTTCCTCTCTTTTGCTCCCTCTATCACTCCATCATTTTCTTTCTTTATCCTAGAAACACTGGAGATGAGAAAGGCTATGTATAGCGGACGTGATCCTTGCTTCAAAAGATTTACAGTGTAAATAGGTAAAAGCAGCTAACACAAAAGTGTCTGCTGTAAGGATGGACAGTTGAGTTCATTTTGCATTTTAGCTCCCATCACTCATTAGAGGCTGCCTGGAGCTCTGTGTGAAGAGGATTCTGAGTTCAGAACCGGACTCAGAGGGATGAATGCCCTGATCAACTAGATGTGACAGCGAAGGACACTTGGAGAATGGGGAGGAGCAGCACCATGGCAGGGACCTACCCTCCTGGGTCTAAATCTGGGTTTCTCAGTTGTGGTGTGACTGACATGTGGCATTTACACTGGCTTGTGCTTGTCATGGGCTGGGGGGGCTGTCCTGTGCTTCATAGATGTTCACGGTCCCCTGACCTCTATCCACCAGAGGCCAGCAGCACCCCTGCAGCTGTGACAACCCAAACTGTCTCTAGACAATATTACCCACTCCCTAATGTCCCCCGGGGGGAGGTAAAATTGCCCCTGTTTTAAAACCAATGGTCTAAATAATTACCACGGTGCTAAATATAGGGGAGTAAATGAGAAAGTCAGAGCGGGTGGGAGGATGCAGAATTCTGGGAGAGTGAAGCTGTGTAGGACTTGTTATGGCAGAGAGGAAATTCTCAGCCGCTGCTGTTACCCATAGGCTGTACGTTGGGCTACATCTCCAAGGATCGAGGGTCTTCTCTGTGACTAGACCACGCCCTGGAGGACAGAGCCTCAGATCACAGCAGGAAGGATTAAAGTTATATTCCAGACTATTGACTGTAAGATTGGTGGAACCCAGGTCACATTACCAATGCAGGTGAAGTTTTCTGTGCTAGAGATTTCAATAAATAAGAATGATGATGCTTGTTAGGGCTGATTAGAAGGTGGAGTGTGACAGAGGCCGGGAAGTGGCATGGGAAGTTCCCTGTGCAGCCCTGGGAATCTTAACAGGGCCTGGGACTGTAGGAGAGGAGGGAAGCAGGAATCATACCCATTATAAATTCCCTTTATGGAGGTAGCCTTATTGACTTTAAATGTCTTGACTTGATCAGAGTACTTGTAACCAAAGAAACAAATACTAACATATTTGACAAAATAAACCAGTGGCTTCAGGACACATTCAGAGAGTGCAAATCCGTGCCAGGCTTTCTTTCCATTTACGGCACTGGGATTTTCACACAGATCATTTCATGGGATGTGGATGCGCTCAAAAGTTCTGGGCTCGCCTTTGAGCTCTGCTTCCTTCTCAGACACTGTGAGGCAATGAGCAAGTCATCTCATCTCTCGGAAGTCAGACTGAAATCTGTAAAATGGGACAGGACATACTCATTAGAAAATTTTACAACATATTTACAAAATACTGGGTACATGTTGGCCACCTCTTTGTAAAATTTTATAATAAATACTCATAAATAAAGTACATTTAGCTACAATTTCCCATTTTCCCTATGTGGGCAACCTTTGGGACAACCTCTATTTCCCACCTAACAAGGCTGCCGTGAGGATGAAATGAGATTATATAAATAAAATGGCATCTACAGGGGTTGGCACAAAATAAAGGCTCCAAAAGTATTAATTCCTCCTTCCTTGCCCTTTTCACTCTGAGTCTCGCAACATTCTTCTCCAATCGGTTAATAAGACAGTGATTCTGGATTCTAGCTGAGGTTTCTTTGAGGCTGCCTTTGGCCACGTTTTACTTACTTTCAGAACACTTATGGCTA